AATATTTAAAATTGAGACGTCTCCTTCCAATCCCGGTAAACATCAAACATTCTATTTTCATACAAGAAATATGTTTCCGATGCACCTATATTCCTGATATGAGATCCGCAGAAGTTCAGAAGTTTCGTGGTATATTGTCCGTAACAGAGTTATCGCCCTATCTGAATTGTATCCGACTCGTAAATTCAGATCCAGTTATGTTATTGCCACTTTGAAACGTGCCCGCTTATCGGGCCAGGCCATCGGAGGTGTATTATTCAGACGAGATGGATGAAGGCACTAGGAACTTGAATCGTGATAATATTCTCATACAAGCATGTGAAATTTATTTTGCAAAGAAATTTAATTATTCGTCATCTTATGCTGAAATACATATGGCGTAAACCAGAGTCGCAATTATAAATATTCGTAAGTTGAACAGATACGATCGAAAATTCGTAGCTGAATTAGTCAAGCGACAACAGTAATATGAGATGGTTGTCAGACTTTTTATTTAACAGAACTAAGCTTAATTTATTACAGACTTTAAGTATTTTTTTTAAGATTATTAAGATAAATTTTAAAAATTAAGCTTGCAAGTATGCTGACATATTCGCAAATAAAGTGTTAACTTACAAAGTGAATACCTAATTTAAATTAAAAAAAAAAAGTTATAATAAAAATTAACGTGGTCTCCCCGTGACTACGATCGGGCTCCAAAGCACCCGATACGCCATGCTGTAGTTAAAAATAATTTCTAACTGTTAAAGTGATCTATTTATTTGTGTTCTAAAAAAATAATCATATAGTCAGAGGCCGAATGTGTATGGTGAAAACTGTCAAGGTCAGAAGAGATTGTTAAAATATATTGCACATGGATAAAATAGAGACTTCACTTCTATTTATTTGGCCCCTAATTTAGGAGAGCTGTTCCCACTTTCGAAAACCAAAAATTCTTCTGATTTTCAGCCAGTTGCTTAATGACCGTTGTAGTTATTAAAATAGTCTTAAATACGCATATGTTTTATCGAAAAATTTAATAACGAATATAATGAATAATACAGTATATCCTCAAATCTTTTGTTCACTTGTAGCCAGAAATGAACATTCTACTCTAGCATTAGTTACTCGTTGAGTTGCAATTATTAATTTCTACATTTAAGATAATACTCTTTTTTAGGGCGTTGATAAATCGATATAAGCTTTAATAAGTTTGTGTTCGCGAATTTGTAGCGTTCGAAAGGTTGTGGCATGATTTAATTAAAACCGTCTGAAGTTTAGAGCATATCTTGGATTCTGGCAACATTTTAATTTCACATCGTAACCTGCGACCGAAAGCGTGTATTCCCATATATTAAAACCTGACTATAAATTATAACAATTATAACGAGATGCTTATGTTGTTTTCGGTTCGATTTAGGATGCATCGCGTATCCTAATAAATGCAGCAGCTGTGCTCGCTGTTGGAGTCGTTCGAGGTCGCTCTATTCCTAGTTTTGAATCCAATCTATTTTTCTGGTTAAGTCGCGTCACCCAGGGTAATCTAGCTGAAACCCGTTTACGGAGAATTCGATCAGTCCGTCAGAAGACACGTGCTCCTCTCTTCATAAATTGGGATGCGCGGAGCTCTTCGTATGGGACCATAAAATTCTAGATTTGTACTTTTCCTAACGTACATAAACTAAAGAGCGATTATTTGCTTTTGATAGCTAATACGGATCAATCGGTTCGTAGCTTTGATTATCACCGATTAGGTGTGTTAACGTGTTTTTAAAACCTCATCATTTTCCTGGAACATGTTGTTGAATATTCAACCACCGACCACAGATGAAACCAAACCCAAAATAGGTCGATGTGCGCTACTTCACCTTATATCGAGTGGTCAATTCCACTCTTGCCTATCGTTACTCCTCTGTCCTTATTTGCTAAAATCACTGATAGTTCGCTTTCGTAGCACTCATTAAGCTTCGAAGCTGAGCTTTGCAGCGGCCAACTTTCGTCAAAGCGATCCGTTTCCCAGAAGATTCAGATTTCAAGAGAATAGGTAATCAACAAACACAAATCTCTTGTGAGCTGATGGGAATTCGGAGATGTTTGTATGAGCCAAGAGATGGTTGCGCTAAGGAGTGGAGAGAGGGCAAGGGCTGTTATTTGAACTACTTTTGAAGTGCACTTGGCATTCTCAATTTAATAATAGAACAGCATTGTTTAGTAAGTGGGTTAACTAACTAACGGATGATGAGTAAATTGATTTTATTATATTAAATTTAGTGTTTTTTTTTTGGCATTTTTTGTTTTAGTGACGTTTGGCTGCTTTTCACTCTAGGGAAAGCGACAATGTAGCACTATGTAGCAATAGTGAAGTCATGTTATAGTAGTAGACCCCGGCAGATAATTTCATTCTTAGCATCTGCGCGTATAATCAACACGGACTTTGGTTGGGAATTAGTAAGACCATATTTAAATAAAAAACAGCGCAATTTTTACATTACTATCACGAGAAATGCCTCCCCGTTCGCTCATTCGGTAAACGACGCACTTGTCAAACGCGCCCATTGACACTTTAACCCGCATCTAAAGAGCTGACAGAGCATTCCAATGGGCGAACAGTGTTACTCAAAGTTCACTCGAATTAGTCAAAAGTTACATTGCAAGACATAGCTAGACTACACTAGCTGTCGCCGTCGGCAGTATGTTGTTTTAGTTTTTTGGAAATATGTTTCAGTTGTACACAATTAATGATAGATGTTCATGTCTGTTGAAGCGTTGACAGCCCGTGCATAAATACCACCACTCACCTTTATCAAAGCGAGACGCTTAGTAAAAAAACCGAATTTTTAGTAAGTCTGAGACAATTTTCTCAATTTTTTATTTGTGCATTCAATCACTTAAGGTTTCTCCAGGTCAAGATGAGAATCTCAGGCGTCTATTGATCGCAGCGAGCCCCCGCGTGGCCTACGACATCATTCGTCATTGTCAATGGAAAACGTAGTGTTACCGTTGCATGATCAATTGTTATTCCGGGAGTCATTTTTCCACGTTTTCATTCCTCGTTCACCGGGAGGAAAATGTACTATCGGTCTCTGGGCGTACTTGGAGGGATTGCCTTTACTAGGCAAATCATATATTATCCCTAGTACATAATTACATATTGATAATAATTTATAAAATAACGTCGATTGAATAATTATAGCAACTAATACGGATTCGACTAGAGGTGGAAATTTCCCTTCCCTGCCATTTCTCGCGCTCAGCGAGGAGCGGCGTAGATTGTGCGAGTTGATGTGACCCAATTATTTGCGGATACATCTTAATGAATTCATACAGCCGCTTCGAGGTTCTTCACTCGGAATAATGACGCTTTGAGTTCGATATAATGATGACACGTAATTATATTGTTTGTGGAGCGCCTCAAAATCACTAGTGTCATTAAAATCGTTCGAAATATGTCAAAAGCTATTTGAAGCACGGCGCGAGACCGCGCTGCACCACGTTCTCGTTTCGCCCCATTCCGTATGAAAACGAAACATCGTGAAAAGACTCGAAACGCCCTTTAGGCGGACGTGACGTAACGACGTTTTCATCCGGCGGCTTATCGCTCATTAACGGCTAATGGACCGTAATCTTTTGTCGTCTGTTGCCTCCGTTTATGTTTAATATACACGTGATTCCGCTCCGTTTGTTTAATGTCCTGGTTTACATAGCGGCAGAATGGTACCTAACGTTAAATCTCTAGTAGAGGTCGCTTTGAAAGGGAAAAAAATTATAAATTATATATGTTTGTTTTGTTACATCTAACAGTAGCTACTCTTACTTTTTTGAACGCAGCATGCCTAGTGTGCAGTGTGGTCGTCTCTTCTTGTGAATACTGGATTCATGTAATAAATCGCCAAGATCTCCTACATATGACACTCAATGTCTGTTCGCTAGTTGTTCTAGATGGTTCCTCAGTTAGTGTTGAGGATAGGCGCAGATAACTCTGGTTACGACTAATTGCACACTATGCTCATACTACGATACGTTTATTATTTTCCGGTTTGTGCTGGTATGTCCTATACCAGGCATGAATACAGTGTAAATACTGCAAATAATGGAGGTCTATTTATACGTTACGATATTTAAACAGAAAATAGTACCCTATTTTTTTGTGTTTGATTTAGTCGGTATAATACCATATTTTAACACGTTATTATAGTTTAACTTATTATTTCATATTTATTATTTTATTATACCTTTGCTATCTATGAATTGCTTTTGCATCATATCTTTGCGTCATACAGGTCCAATCCTTTTAATTAATATCGCCAAAAATATTCCGTTATATTTAATCGTTTTTCGAATGTACCTACATTACAATAAATATATGTGAAATCTATTTCTGCATTATTCTTAGAAACGATTACAATGCAGACATATTATATTGTCGCGCTAAGCTAAACGTATAATCATTTATGCCACATACAATTAAACAATAAAACAAAAATAAAAAAGAGGGATACCACTCTGCTTGTGTTGTATCAACATTTAAGTTCACAATGTCTTAACACGTTTTGTAAGTGTAATCGATCTACGACATTTAATTCTAGTATCTGCTCACGCAAGCAACAATTCTGGCAAACACTGAACAATCGTTCTGGTTAGTTTACTATTGACTAAAAGTGGTGAAACGGAATAAATGAGAATTTCTAAGTTGTCGCAAGGCTAAATACATTGCCGCAGATAACGGCCACTTATCTCAAATGTCAGTTCAAACTTAACATTTATTTAATTGAACTTGCTTAGCTGTACAAATCCATATATATTTTTAATCGAGAGGGTGCGAGAACGACTGGTTCATTCCTCTTTCTTATTTCACCACTGGCTCAAACAATTTTAACGAAATCTATTTGTATAGCTGACATGCCGCCACAGGGAACTAAATATTAAAAATAGATTTTTATCCTAAAAAAGTAACAGGCTTCTGCTAGATCAACGGATTCCTAGCAAATTTTTCGAGTCGTGTCGAGACATTTGGTTTTTAATTAATAATCGAACAGTTGGAATTCGCCTTCGTTGTCTAGCTCCTGAGCGAAATGCTGAAGCGTCTTCCAGGAAGTGCTCATATCCAAGTGGTTTACGAACACCGGTAACAATGTACTATTGAATTGCCGCTCGTTGGCGCCGCACAAGGAGAACAACATGTCTTTACATGACGATGTTCTGAAATGCTCGGGAGTACAAGGCTCAACAAAATCGCTCACGTAACTCGACACAGCAGGTCTAAATTCGTGTCGACCGTGTCTCATCTCGACTGGAGCTACAGTTTCTACGGTGGAAGACAGCCAAATTATTGGGGATTCTATATCCTTAATAAACGCCATCGGAGCTAGAGCTACCCCCGACTCCAGGTAGGAATTATATTCCGGTCTCGACGACAGCATCGCGAAGAGTATAGTCGAGCCCATCGAATGGCCTACGTAAGCGATTTCACTGTCACTCTTCAGTCCCTTGATGTAGTCCAGAATGGCTGGCATGTCTTGTATAGCTATTTCGTGCCAGGAGAAGTCCCAATATTGCTGAGAATCCTTCTGGAGCCAAGCGTGCCCCTTGGAATACCTATTGCCCCTGATGTTGGCCATCCACACGTGGTAGCCGGCGTCAGCTAACACGTACGCTAAGCTATTTCGTGGTCCGTTGAGTATCCAATGAGCTGAATTTCCGAAAAGACCGTGCTGCAGCAGAGCAGTTTTCCTCGGAACGGCGTTGTCATACTTAGCGTGAGGAATCCGGTGCAGTTGAAGCATGTAACCTTGCGAGACGACCGTGTGCGTTTCACAGATATAACCATGGCGGGATATTATAGCGGGAACGGTCAACTTCTCGTCAGGATTTGACCTTACAGGTTCAACAAAATTTACATTGATCAGGGCGAAAATGAGAACAATAAGTCGAATATTCATCTTTAGTACTTATTGCCGTGGCACTGAACGTAATTATGATAAGACTGTAATATATAGAAGAGACATTTTCTTATTGCCCCCAGGGTCAGGATACTTTTGTAGTTTGAGGTAATTTTGTTTTGTGTTTGTGCTAATAAGCTTTTTGAGAGTTGGTAGAACATATTCTACCAACTCTCGAAAAGCTTCCTAATGGATCTTGGATGCCGAATTCGTTGTAAAGTCTAAAGTTTATTAGTTACCTTTTCTGTGTTGTGTAAATTGTATTGCAAAAGGCACGAGTATTAAAACATATTGAATTCAGTATTCGTTAGCATATGCCCGAAATGGCCAAACATCCTAGAATATTTGCTTTATAACAGTTTTCTTCTATTCGGTTGAAATGATTGTGTAAATAGTAAATACATGAATGCAATATATTCCTAGCCATTTGTTTAGTTAACATATTGCGTTGGACTAAGTAAACATGTCCGGTTTTATTGAAAACAGAACAAATAATACTTCTGCTTACGCCCGATTTTGCTATTAAATTAAATAAAAGTAACCGCTACCTCCGAACGCAATTACTAGGATAATTTTAATAGTACTAAGATGAAAGGTTGAAAGGACGTTTGGCACTCTTACCACAAAAACGCCTAAACATTATAAAATTAATAGGGATAATTAATTTATACGGATTTTGCGTAATGTGGACTTCTGGACAGTACGGTCCTACTTCAAGCACGTTTCCGTTTTTTAACTTTCACTTTCTCTGATATATTTACGTTATATGTTCAAACATAATCAGTCACATCGGGGTGACCTCACTCAAGCTAACTGCTTGACGTTGCCAGCTAATTCGTTATAATTAATAAAATGAAATGATATTTAAAAAAAAAACAATTTATTCCGTCGCTTCGACTTATGCATGTTTTTAAATAGCTCAAGATACCTATAGTACCTGTGTCAGCGACTTTTTAACCGTTTTTGCAGCTTAGGCCTCGGAAACCCATCGAATCGATTCGTTCGGTGTTCACTGCTTGATAGGCTCCCCTCATAGGCTTCCAGTTCGACCGGTCGATTGCTAGTTGAATTGAGTTTCCCCGCCATCTTAACCAGGTCGTCGGTTCACCTGGTAGAGGTCGTCCAGGGTTTCGACGTCCGGTACGTGATCTCCACTCTAAAACCTTTTTGTCCCAACGGCCGTCAGTTCTACGAGTGATGTGCCCAGCCCATTGCCACTTCAGCTTGCCAATTTGATGGGCCATGTCAGTGACTTTATCCTATGGATCTCCTCATTCTTGATTCTATCACGCAGGGTAACTCCGAGCATAGCCCTTTCCATTGCACGCTGAGCGACGCGAAATCTATGTTATATGTACCATGGTCGCGATAAGAGACCATATTTCGGTACCGTACGTCATCACTGGTACCACACGCCACTGGAACACTTTAGTTTGCAGCTTTTTTTTCTAGTTTATTTTTCCGGAAATCCATAATGATAAATGGTTTTCCCAAAATTTTTCACATTTCTCGCTGTATCTTTTGCATTAGTCACACGGCGATGTTTTATAGCCTATAGGCCTTCCTCGATAAATGCTCTAACCAACACAACAATAATTCAAACCCACGGTTCCTGAGATTAGCGCGTTCACTCAACAAACTCTTCAGCTTTATATATTAATATTAATATAGATATATGTAATCTAACTACGAAAACAAATAAATATATGTGAATTCTATTTCTGCATTATTCTTAGAAACATAATGATACATTGTCGCCACATGTAAAGGCCCTCGTCCGTGACAATCACGACTACGCTCATAAAGAGTAGAGACAAAAGCGAGTTTTGCTCTAAAATATAACGTGAGCCAACATACCAACGTTAGTGTCTCGAACGTAACGTTTTAGTACGGTCAATTAGGGTCCAATGCCGCCTGTACTTTATAAGGAATAAAATTATTTTAAAATTCCTAAAAACGACACATCTTTATCTAATATCTATATTACAAATCAAATTCAGTCACGTGTGACGCTAAAAATATAGTATATAAAAAATATCGAGAACTTTCTAATTCTTTAAAGCAATGGGATAATCCAGTTAAACCCAATCCAATAATATCCAGAATCAATGGCGGATTAAAATGTCGCAACTGCTGAATTCCGCTGTGTCGGCGGTTACCGTTAGGTGCGCGTAAGTTATACGGTTATACGTTTCCTGCTACCACAATATTGACGCGATTATCCGATCCTGAATAATCCTTGTAATATTCATACCGCCTGGATTCGGCCTTATTACGTAACTGGGCCATCGCATAATAAAAAACTATACTCTCAATATAAACGCAAATATTAAATCTTGCAGAATTGCAACCAAAGATACCGTTTTATATATTGGTATTCTGAAAAACGTATTATATGCTTATCACGTGTGGACGGCCTCATCAGGAGATGTTAACTCCTCGATTGCTCGAAGAATTAAGTCCACACGTGATGGCGAAACGTCGAGAACCTGTTCTCGCTCACATCGGCCGAACAGCCCGAAAGACAATGGTATGCTGAATGATGGCCTCGAAAGCCTTACACAATGTATTATATGCGATTTAATAACAAAAGTGTGTTTTAAATTTGTATGTTCTAATTTTGGTTGTAAATTAATCAAGAACTAGCTGTGTCAGCGACTTTGTCCGCGTAGAATCGCAATTTTGGTCGTCCTTGCGAGTTAATCTTAAAAGATGGCATTTACTGTCGCGGGCATTTTTTTAGATCCTTAAAAGAGAAATTATTCTTTCATAGATATTTTTGAGTATCTTGAACCGTTTTCGCAGCACAACAAATAAACAAACTCTTCAGCGTTATACTTTTATATTGGTATAGATTTGTAATTAATTTCCAATAATGAGCAATTTATTTTAAAGGCTTAATTTTCCTTAGTGATGTGAGTCTTATGACAAATATAATAAAGCAAAATAGAATAGTGCATAATGTAAAATTAAAACAGGAAAATATAGAACTCCGGAGTAATATCGAACTGCACATCCTAGAACTTGATAATATGAGACTTGCATACGATACGGAAACACAGGAACTCCATAAGGAGATAGACAGACTCGAGAACCTTGTGGGCTCCTTGATATCTAAGTTTCAAGAGTCTCAAGAGATGGTTGAAAAGTACTCATCTACTATGGACGACCTCATCAAGCTCTCCACATACACAGCAGAGTATTATGAGTCACAGAACATCAGCTCTTGTGACCCTGTAGGCTTCTTGAGTCACAAATCTAACCCCTCTCCTCTAGTTCCCAAGTTAATTAAAAATATTAAAAGTAATATAAATAATAATAAAAAATATAACCTTAATAATAATTTTTGTTGCAAAAAACAAACTGAAATGCAGAACAATTTTATGTTTTCTGATGAATTTGGGAAAAATATGGGTAATTTGTGTAATTTTAATATAAGAAACAGCTGCTATCCAAATGCCACGTTTAGTCATATAGTTGATAATTATGTAATGAGAATGAAATCTTGTCAATCTAAAAGCTTAATATTACTTATTGGTAATAGGGGCAACATTAATAAAAAAGAATTAATATATCTGTGTGAGAAGATACTTTTGTTGAATGCTAAAAAAATTATAATGTTCACATTTCCCTATAGTCAAAATTTTTCTAAACAAGAAAACAATATTAGATTCATTCTCAATCAAACATTACATAATATATCAATGTATAACGGGAATTTACATGTAATTGATACCAACAGGTATTTAAAAAATAAAATATCTTTGACAAGTGATAGGTATATTCTACCTATTTACTATAAACGACAGATAGCTGATGCGCTATCATATTTTTTATTGATTACAGCCAAGAATTTGGCTAGACATAATGCTTCTATTGAGCAAGTAGTATATAAGACTTTGGAAGAGATTCCAAGTAATGTTTATTTAAATTAGCATATAAGACAACAGAGTCTCAGACCTCTGGCGAATCAACTAAAACGAATAATTTGTATAAATCCAGTGACTATAATATAATGCATCAAAACATTCAAGGGATGAAAAGTAAAGAACTTGAAATTGATTTGTTAACTATTAATACTCAAATTGATGTACTATGTCTTACAGAACACTGGTTAAAGAAGCATGAACTCATATTTAATTTCTGTAAACACAAAGTAGGTAGTTCCTTCTGCAGAAAACATGCAAAGAGAGGGGGCTCATTAATCCTTATTAATAAAAATTTAAAATTTAAGGAAAGAAAGGATATAGTGAGCCTTTCTGTAGAACGAATTATTGAACTTTCTTGTATAGAGCTAGAGCAATTTATAGTTGTTAGTTTGTATAGTCCTCCTTCAGCTAATTATGATAGTTTAGAAAAGAAACTAGAAGAGATGTTGTTTAAATTGCAAAGAGCCAATAAGAAAATAATTGTCTGTGGAGACTTTAATATTAACTTGCTAGATAGTAGCTGTCGTTCTGCCTTACAGTTGCTTAATCTATTTAAATCATTTAATTTAATAAATCATTTTATTGTGCCCACTAGAGTAACAGCCACTACAGCCACATGTATAGACAATATCTTCAGTGACATTTCACCAGTAAATACTTGTATTATCAACAAGCTAACATCTGACCACTCTGGCCAAATGTTTACTTTTAAAAGTATTAGGAGTAACATCTGTAAAAAGAAGATATGTACAGTCCCAGTAACTGATGACCGCTTGGACAGATTCAGAAATAGATTAGTCAGTAGTTTGCCATTTTTGTGTGACGGACAGTGCCCTAATAATTTATATGATGCATTTTTTGGTTCATTTATTGATGAATTTAAAAATGTATTTCTTCCTAAGACTTTATTGGTATCTGAGAAACCTAAATTCAGTGATTGGGCCACTGTGGAGTTGCACAAAAAAAGAGAAAAATTATATGAATTATATGAAGAAAAGCAGTATAATCATAGTGAGGAATTCAAAGCTTACGTAAAAATGTTCTCTAACAATTTTAAACAAGAATGTCGTTTAACTAAATCACAATACTTAAGTTTAAAAATAAAGAATAGCTCTGATAAGGTAAAAGCCACTTGGAAAATGATAAACGAGGAGACTGGGCGGTCTACACATAGAGATTTAGATTATAAATTACATGTCGATGGTAGATTAATCAGTTCAGACGTCGAGGTGGCTTCTACGTTTGAGAAGTTTTTTACCGACATTCCACTTAAAACCACCGAAGCTTTGAAATCTTCTTCTTCTGCCGCCCTTCATTTATTAGAAACAAATGTACCAAAATGTAATAGCAGGTTCAACTTCAGCTATATAGATAGAAATCACATTATTCAAACTTTTAAACTACTTAAAGTAAAGAAATCGAAAGATATCTGGGGTGTATCAGTAATAGTTTTACAATCCGTAATTGACATTATTGGTTCGGAACTAGCTATTATATTTAATCGATGTGTTGATTGTGGCGTCTTCCCTAGTAAAATGAAATTAAGTAAAGTTATACCTTTGGCTAAGGCGGGTAGCACGACTGATCCATCAAACTTTAGGCCCGTGTCTGTGTTGCCTGCTTTGAGTAAAATTTTCGAAAAAATCATGCTAGATCAGCTGATGCATTTTTTTAATAACAATAAGCTTATGCATAACAAGCAATATGGTTTTACGAGTGGTCGATCTACAATTGACGCTGGTGTTAAACTGATTTCCGATATTTTGGACGCTTGGGAGAGCTCCAATAATGCCATTGGAGTTTTTTGCGATCTTTCAAAGGCCTTTGATTGTGTCCATCATAATACACTAGTCAAAAAGCTTCAGCATTATGGAGTTGATGGAAAGGCGTTGAAAATGATGGAGTCATACTTAGGTGGTAGAATTCAAAAAGTGTATGTTAATGAATCTGTCTCAACAGGATCAACCGTTGCAATGGGCGTACCACAGGGGTCTATACTTGGACCATTCCTATTTCTCATCTACATTAATGATTTACCATCCTTTGTTAACGAGCTTCATGAGATAATACTGTTTGCTGATGACACTTCACTTTTATTTAGTGTGAAACGTGGAAATATATCAGTAGACGATGTAAACAGTGCTATCGCCAGAGTCGTTCAGTGGTTTAACACAAATAATCTCTTGCTTAATGAAAAGAAAACTAAATGCATTAAGTTTGTAACACCAAACGTTAAATGCAATATAATTGATAATTTAAAAATAAAAGATGAGAAAATAGGTTTTGTCGAAAATGCTGTATTTTTAGGTATAACTCTTGATTGTAAACTCCAGTGGGGACCACATATAAAAAATCTCTCGAATAAACTAAGCTCTGCAGCCTATGCTGTAAAGAAGATACGACAGCTTACTGATGAAAATACAGCCAAGCTTGTCTATTTTAGTTACTTCCATAGTGTAATGTCTTACGGCATCCTTTTATGGGGCAATGCAGCCGATATTCAAACTATATTTGTTTTACAGAAAAGGGCCATTCGAGCGATTTGTGGTCTTTCCCCACGAGAGTCCGTCCGAGATAAATTTAAATCATTGAATATTCTAACATTAGCAAGTCAATATATTTATGAAAATGTTTTGTTTGCTCGAAAAAATGTACATAATTTTAAAACAAACAGCAGTTTTCATCAATATAATACACGCAATAAAGATAAAATAAGTGTACCGACCAAAAGGCTCCATAAGACAAGTAATTCTTTTCAAGGTAACTGCATACGGTATTTTAATATCATCCCTAGTGAAGTAAAAACGCTGTCAATAAATAAGTTTAAATCGTTTGTTAAACAAAAACTGCTTGAAAAGGGTTATTATAACGTAAATGAATATTTAAATGATAAAAATGCTTGGGCTATGGAGGAACCCGCTCTATCAAGGAAGAAATGTACACAATGAGTGCGTAAGGACTATAAGGAAATGTAACTAAAACTTGGCAGTTAAAAGGAGTGGCGGCGAGTTTCTTGCCAGTTCTTCTCGTTCGTTCTACGCCTTAACTTGGGAACTGGTAGTAACTGTAAATTTAGAGTCTTAAGTTTTTACCTGTTTTGACGTTCATAAGTGTACTAAGCTACCTACATGAATAAATGATTTTTGATTTGATTTGATTTGATATGATCCCAATATCTCTTTAAGAACTCTGTCGAAAGTAAGTTAATATTTTTAAAAGCCCCAAACATGAAACCTTTCAAATGCCATCGAGTGGAGCATTGTGATGAATGGTCGGTGTAAACCGCAAAATGGCTCACGACGTGGTAATAAAGTTACTCGCTCTATTTATGACGCAAGGATCTAATAAAGTGTCCAGGATACTCTCAGGAGAAATTACTTCTGCAACCGTAATTACTGCTGTAAGTACATTCGAACTGGATAGTGTGCACGTGTGATGGACAGACGTGTACGCTTAATACTTTATAATAACAAACATCACATACTCGTACTTGTAGAATAATTACAATCATAAATAAAGATAGCGGTAAATAATGGACAGATTCAATTGTGTCGGGCAAACACTCGTTCTGCCTTTCCTATCCTACCACCGCCAGTTGACAATACTTAAAAAATGACAGAGGACCTAATGCAATTGTTAACCACCCTTACAATGTGAACCTTATGAAAGTGGTCTCATATTAAATTGTAATTAGACCATAAAGTTTAATACGTGTGAAATGTTTATCAAGTTATTTGATATAGAGCACGCTGACTGTTCATGTTCGGAAAATAGATTCTAGCTAGCAGTACATATACAGCTATAGTAATTAGCTGTCTCATTTGTCGATTGTTTATCACTTAATTAATTATAATATCATTTACTTCTTGTCAAATCCCAACGATGACAGCGTTCGGCGATCTCACATCCTGGAATAATTTATTTTCGACATTCTGTCTTTTTCGACTAATGTTGTACACAATTTGCTGAGATGGAAAGACAGACGTTTCTTTCCTTTGCCAAAACGGTATAACTGATTTTGGTGGTACTGCCAACAATAATCCCAAGTTAATTCAAGGTTTTTTGCTTCATGCTAAGAAGCGATCTATAACGAGCGGAGATTAAATCTTGTTAATTCCAACGGGCTAAAAGGGTCAAAAGGAGCTCAGGGTTTGTGTAGATATAATTATGGGTGTTCACTTTGTTCCAAAATGAGGGTATTCGCTAATTAAATTGTAAGCCAAGCGATTCTCTAAGCGAGTGGCCAGAACAAGTGTAATAAAAAACAAACAAGACATGATAATAAGATGTACAAAAATAGTTTATGTTTAATAATTATAAATTTGTTCAACTTTTAATAAGTCGCTATTTATTAAGAAAGGACCATTTTGGATTCACGTTTGAGCTCTTCGAATTCCAGGAACTACAGGTAGTTCTACACGGTTCGCAGTTACCCTGTAACAGCACAAAGGGTAGAATGTAATTTGGGCTCGACTTGACGACTGAACAATTCAATCTAAGTCTAAGATTCAGACAAGACTTGATGCAATTACCAAGATATGCACTGCGGCGGTTCAATCTCAGATTGTCAAGTAAAGCGAGTAATCTAAAACAAATACATAGTACGCTTACATTTTTACATTACTTTTAAGAATTAGGCAGAGTCTGGAAAAAGTATATATGCATCGGTTCGTAACATAAAATTAAAATTCTTTTTGAGATAAAAACAAGTCAACTTATATTTATTACGTTCTGACGTGCCCCGAGGAAATTACAGAGAATATCATATTAAGTTTGAAAACATTTTATAATGATGGATATCTGCAAATGTCATAATTCTACAAAAAATTGTCTTCCGAAATCTATTAGGTAATCATAATGATTGATGAAAACGTTGTTTACGGAAAAACGAGGAATTTTGCCGCAAACTTTTCCGATAAGGACGACATCTTTAACGAAAGCAGCGCTAGATAAAAACACTGATTTACATAATTTACGTCTACACTAAAATTTTATTTTTCACTCTGTGTTTGTAAGATCTTGCTCCGAACGCTCCAAGTTATACGTCGGTTATTTGAAGTTTGAACGAATGAAAGTTACAGTTACAACAAGTGACCACGTGGAAATAAAACTCTCGAAAAGAAAATAGCTATCAGCAGTATTAGACGGTTTCGTCCTATGTAGATATTCTTTGGAAGTAAAAATGTTCGTGGTTAATGT